GCTAGTAATAAACAAGACAGCTCCATGTACTCAACAAACTTACAAATCTCAAAACACGTAGGTTACAGACAGGAAGGAAACCCTGGTAGGCTAGTAATAAACAAGACAGCTCCATGTACTCAACAAACTTACAAATCTCAAAACACGTAGGTTACAGACAGGAAGGAAACCCTGGTAGGCTAGTAATAAACAAGACAGCTCCATGTACTCAACAAACTTACAAATCTCAAAACACGTAGGTTACAGACAGGAAGGAAACCCTGGTAGGCTAGTAATAAACAAGACAGCTCCATGTACTCAACAAACTTACAAATCTCAAAACACGTAGGTTACAGACAGGAAGGAAACCCTGGTAGGCTAGTAATAAACAAGACAGCTCCATGTACTCAACAAACTTACAAATCTCAAAACACGTAGGTTACAGACAGGAAGGAAACCCTGGTAGGCTAGTAATAAACAAGACAGCTCCATGTACTCAACAAACTTACAAATCTCAAAACACGTAGGTTACAGACAGGAAGGAAACCCTGGTAGGCTAGTAATAAACAAGACAGCTCCATGTACTCAACAAACTTACAAATCTCAAAACACGTAGGTTACAGACAGGAAGGAAACCCTGGTAGGCTAGTAATAAACAAGACAGCTCCATGTACTCAACAAACTTACAAATCTCAAAACACGTAGGTTACAGACAGGAAGGAAACCCTGGTAGGCTAGTAATAAACAAGACAGCTCCATGTACTCAACAAACTTACAAATCTCAAAACACGTAGGTTACAGACAGGAAGGAAACCCTGGTAGGCTAGTAATAAACAAGACAGCTCCATGTACTCAACAAACTTACAAATCTCAAAACACGTAGGTTACAGACAGGAAGGAAACCCTGGTAGGCTAGTAATAAACAAGACAGCTCCATGTACTCAACAAACTTACAAATCTCAAAACACGTAGGTTACAGACAGGAAGGAAACCCTGGTAGGCTAGTAATAAACAAGACAGCTCCATGTACTCAACAAACTTACAAATCTCAAAACACGTAGGTTACAGACAGGAAGGAAACCCTGGTAGGCTAGTAATAAACAAGACAGCTCCATGTACTCAACAAACTTACAAATCTCAAAACACGTAGGTTACAGACAGGAAGGAAACCCTGGTAGGCTAGTAATAAACAAGACAGCTCCATGTACTCAACAAACTTACAAATCTCAAAACACGTAGGTTACAGACAGGAAGGAAACCCTGGTAGGCTAGTAATAAACAAGACAGCTCCATGTACTCAACAAACTTACAAATCTCAAAACACGTAGGTTACAGACAGGAAGGAAACCCTGGTAGGCTAGTAATAAACAAGACAGCTCCATGTACTCAACAAACTTACAAATCTCAAAACACGTAGGTTACAGACAGGAAGGAAACCCTGGTAGGCTAGTAATAAACAAGACAGCTCCATGTACTCAACAAACTTACAAATCTCAAAACACGTAGGTTACAGACAGGAAGGAAACCCTGGTAGGCTAGTAATAAACAAGACAGCTCCATGTACTCAACAAACTTACAAATCTCAAAACACGTAGGTTACAGACAGGAAGGAAACCCTGGTAGGCTAGTAATAAACAAGACAGCTCCATGTACTCAACAAACTTACAAATCTCAAAACACGTAGGTTACAGACAGGAAGGAAACCCTGGTAGGCTAGTAATAAACAAGACAGCTCCATGTACTCAACAAACTTACAAATCTCAAAACACGTAGGTTACAGACAGGAAGGAAACCCTGGTAGGCTAGTAATAAACAAGACAGCTCCATGTACTCAACAAACTTACAAATCTCAAAACACGTAGGTTACAGACAGGAAGGAAACCCTGGTAGGCTAGTAATAAACAAGACAGCTCCATGTACTCAACAAACTTACAAATCTCAAAACACGTAGGTTACAGACAGGAAGGAAACCCTGGTAGGCTAGTAATAAACAAGACAGCTCCATGTACTCAACAAACTTACAAATCTCAAAACACGTAGGTTACAGACAGGAAGGAAACCCTGGTAGGCTAGTAATAAACAAGACAGCTCCATGTACTCAACAAACTTACAAATCTCAAAACACGTAGGTTACAGACAGGAAGGAAACCCTGGTAGGCTAGTAATAAACAAGACAGCTCCATGTACTCAACAAACTTACAAATCTCAAAACACGTAGGTTACAGACAGGAAGGAAACCCTGGTAGGCTAGTAATAAACAAGACAGCTCCATGTACTCAACAAACTTACAAATCTCAAAACACGTAGGTTACAGACAGGAAGGAAACCCTGGTAGGCTAGTAATAAACAAGACAGCTCCATGTACTCAACAAACTTACAAATCTCAAAACACGTAGGTTACAGACAGGAAGGAAACCCTGGTAGGCTAGTAATAAACAAGACAGCTCCATGTACTCAACAAACTTACAAATCTCAAAACACGTAGGTTACAGACAGGAAGGAAACCCTGGTAGGCTAGTAATAAACAAGACAGCTCCATGTACTCAACAAACTTACAAATCTCAAAACACGTAGGTTACAGACAGGAAGGAAACCCTGGTAGGCTAGTAATAAACAAGACAGCTCCATGTACTCAACAAACTTACAAATCTCAAAACACGTAGGTTACAGACAGGAAGGAAACCCTGGTAGGCTAGTAATAAACAAGACAGCTCCATGTACTCAACAAACTTACAAATCTCAAAACACGTAGGTTACAGACAGGAAGGAAACCCTGGTAGGCTAGTAATAAACAAGACAGCTCCATGTACTCAACAAACTTACAAATCTCAAAACACGTAGGTTACAGACAGGAAGGAAACCCTGGTAGGCTAGTAATAAACAAGACAGCTCCATGTACTCAACAAACTTACAAATCTCAAAACACGTAGGTTACAGACAGGAAGGAAACCCTGGTAGGCTAGTAATAAACAAGACAGCTCCATGTACTCAACAAACTTACAAATCTCAAAACACGTAGGTTACAGACAGGAAGGAAACCCTGGTAGGCTAGTAATAAACAAGACAGCTCCATGTACTCAACAAACTTACAAATCTCAAAACACGTAGGTTACAGACAGGAAGGAAACCCTGGTAGGCTAGTAATAAACAAGACAGCTCCATGTACTCAACAAACTTACAAATCTCAAAACACGTAGGTTACAGACAGGAAGGAAACCCTGGTAGGCTAGTAATAAACAAGACAGCTCCATGTACTCAACAAACTTACAAATCTCAAAACACGTAGGTTACAGACAGGAAGGAAACCCTGGTAGGCTAGTAATAAACAAGACAGCTCCATGTACTCAACAAACTTACAAATCTCAAAACACGTAGGTTACAGACAGGAAGGAAACCCTGGTAGGCTAGTAATAAACAAGACAGCTCCATGTACTCAACAAACTTACAAATCTCAAAACACGTAGGTTACAGACAGGAAGGAAACCCTGGTAGGCTAGTAATAAACAAGACAGCTCCATGTACTCAACAAACTCACAAATATCAAAACACGTAGGTTACAGACAGGAAGGAAACCCTGGTAGGCAAGTAATAAACAAGACAGCTCCATGTACTCAACAAACTCACAAAATCTCAAAACACGTAGGTTACAGACAGGAAGGAAACCCTGGTAGGCTAGTAATAAACAAGACAGCTCCATGTACTCAGCGAAGAAACAAAAACGAAACAAAAACACTCAGTATCTCTAGTGTTCGTAATTCCCAATATATTTGAATACAGTTACACTGGCTTTGTATTTTAGCACTAACATAACATTATTAATCTCACTATGACGGCGATCATTTTATTACATTTAAACTGGCATACTCTGAGTGGCGCTTTGTAGATATCAATCTAGGATAACGACAGAACACCTCATGGAATCGTTTCATTTTCCCTCTCTTTGTAGAGGGTCCAAGGACTGTGTCCGTTTTGTTAGGTTAAACGGGTTCGCTTCCAATACAAGTAATTTCCGAACAATACGATTCCTCTGTCCATCGTATCTCCACACTTGTACCTCGCTCGGGCCAGTATCTATCCAGCGAAGCGGATGTAAACGATGGGGGAGTTTCGTGACGGATGGTTATTTAACGAAACAAAATAGCGACCAATCAAAAAAAGTGTTTCTTAATCCCATAGGCGGATGCCAGATTAATTTGCCTGTATGTATCTTATATCCGTGAAGATGTAGGCCTTTGTGTGTATATAACGGCTGTAATTAAACTATACATTAACAGTCAAGTAAAAGAATCATCAAAAACATACAACGCCAATACATTATCAATACATTCTATGTTTTCTATGTTTTATTTTACTGTATACAGAATGAGTCAAAATACCTAATCGATTGCTTTAAAATGATATTTAGTAAACATAAAAAGCCATTCTATTAATCAATTATTAAAACTAATTAACCGTAGTTCACTTACACATCATGATTCTTGCAAATCAAACAGTAACCACAAAAGTATCTATAATATGTTTATGAGGTTGTATTAAGCGATGCATAGTCCGGTTAGATACCTAAAGCAATAATACTATGAAAGGTTTAATAAGGACATATTCCGTGTGCGGTATGACAGGTGTTGTAAACAATAGTAACACTGCAGAGTCAGGTACGTCCAATCAATAGTCATCTTGTATGTATTGATAGCTGGGTATGCCAACGCACCGTTATAATTCATCCGGGACTCCGGAATGAGTTGTAACCGATAAAGTGTGTGTGGATTGTGTAGCCGAGCCACGAGACAATAAAAGGATATTAACTGCTGACATGGAAAGAGAACCTTCGATACTGTATATCGTGTTTACATATCCGTGTCACATAAAGCACGTGTCACGAGACACGCGCACATTCACGTCCATTCTTAGCTTATGATTGGTCAAAACATAAAAGTTTATTTCCAACAAATTGTTATATCAACATCTCGGTGAGAAACACGAATTCTACTGTTCAAGGTTCTTACAACCAAAACGACGTGGACATATAAAGAACGAGCAAAATCCAGAATATTTTATCAACGTACCTGTGGTGTGTAAAGATTCCAAGAAAAATGTAATAATATCATGAACCAGAAAACAACATTGACCGGACATTGTTATCAGGAAGGAAAAAACCGTTTGCATTATGTGGAAGTTGGTGTTTACATTATTTGCTGTTACGTAAATTGCAGCAGAATCAGCCCTCGCCTACGGAATTGACATATGATAATGTACTTAAGCTCAATACTGAATACTTAATTACCGAGTTATACCAGCTTTAACACGGTATATAAGTGAGGACATAATTGTGGAAGTAGTTCTGGCGAACATTACACGAAGAAACAAGAAGCCAGGTGATCAACTGACAAAGATGAAGGTGGCATTGGCCTGTTTTGACATCCTTAAAGCGATCTTGGTACGTCTTGTGCTGGTCATCCACAGTCTGTTGGCAGTATGGAGGGTGGTTAGCATTAATGATGACAACTTCTTCTGGTGGTTCGCCATCGTGGATGTCGTTCTCGTCCTGGAAGGTGTGGTGGCCGTTATTGTGAGGAAAGGCATGGAATACAAGTGGTAAGTCCTAGGGACTAGCTAGCTCACTATGTCAAATGTTACTTCATGCATTGTACTGGTGGTAGTTCATCGGTACAAGGATAATCATATATTTAATTACTGGGAAGCTTGAGATAGTGTTGGTAACGTCGGGAGGGGAAGGGGTGTTAAAGGAGCATCGGATACTCACGGTATTTCACCATGGTTACGGCGCACTGTAAGTAGATTTGTTTACATACCTACGAGAAGTGTTTAGTAATAATGTAATTCGTCACCATCATTCAGTTTTTTAAGGTGTGTGTAGTGTTTTAACACAAAATCAGTGATAAATCATCCGTTACAATCATTCTGACTAAATATAGTAGTTTTCCTACAAAACAGACGTTTCGTAAATGCCTAAGTCTAAACGTAAGAAAAAGATTTCATGTTTTTTAGGATGTAAAACATCCTGTGTGGAGGGTCGATTTGTCTCTTAAATTTAAGGATATTTACTTATCAGAATTCAGCGCTCGTTTAGTTCTCGTTATGGTAAATAGTTTCATACCTGCAATTCGGTTTACAGGCAGTAATACACTAGATTTTTGTCACTGACCCAACATCATATTATCTTGTCAATTAAAAAGTTCCTGAATAAAGTTGATGATGCACTCAAAAGATGTTGGAAGCTGTTTTACTTTTATACATCCTACTTTTTAAAAGCCAAACTTTGACCTCTTTTGACGAAAAACTGTGTAAGGGTAGTTTGAAAAGCATTACAGAAAACCGTAGGTAACTGTATTGTAGTAGCTCAATTTGGCAGGAGGTAAGAAACTATTTGAGCTTTATGAAATTTGAAAACCACATCAATGGACCTACTATATCTAAAAACGCCATTATCGATAAACGTAATGTTTGATCGAATCTACACGAGTGAAATAACCTGTATTATGTATGACAGTTCATATTGTAAATGCATCAATATCAATTTTAAACAAAGTCAGATACTCATAATATGACGAGGTAGCGTCCTCGATAAAAATTGACAAAGTATGAAGATATGTAATCCACACTGACCTATCATAAATCTTTATCTAAATTTACATTTGTTCAAAAAAAAATTGCAACAAAAATGAAATACTGACCAAACCTTTTTGTAAGCATAAACATTCAAAAACAAAAGACTGAATAAAAATGTATGTAAAAAACATTTTCAACATTATCGAAATACGTTGGGGTTTCTTAATATACACGTGGGATGCCGTCCTCGAGTACGATAAACCACTGCTACAGCAGTTAAATGATCATCCACGTACCTACCAAAAACTTGATTACTGCATAATCCGTGCAAATTTGTCTTCCTACAGCCATTCTTATACCATAATCATGACATTGTATCTGATTTCTGATGCACTGGTAAAACAATTGTTTCAGTACTAAAAACGGCAAATCAAATGGAATTAAATCAAACTATTAGAATGTAATTCCTTCTAAATGTAACTATTAACCATTAGCAATAAATCAATTTCCGTTGTTTATCCCTGTAACATTAAAAACGCAAAATACACTATGTAACTGGTAAGAAATGAGTTGGAGCGTTAAATGCTATCCTTATTGTCAAATTAAGCACTGCAGCAAAAAACTCTTTTTATAATCATATTAACATTGTAATATAAAAAGATGATACTCAAGTTCTGTTTTTTATTGAACCGTAGGCATTACAAGAAGACCCAATCACACTAATAAAATGCTCAAACCTTTTTAAAAAATAATTAAAACAATGTGGTGTGGTAGTAACGTATCCCTACATTCAAGAGTTCTGCAGCGAATTTGTTGATACAGGTATATTTTCAGGACAACTTTTGAAATTATCTTTGTCAAATTGTACAAATTAAACAAATCATTTAGTCTACATATGTATAGCTTCGGCTGTTCTGCAAAATTATCGCACATAAATTTAGTTTAATCTATATATCCAGTTTATAATGACTTCTGGACGGTTTGTCAATCATTAAATCTACAGTCGCATTGGAAATGCATGCTGGTCTAAACAATATGTGACGTCGAGACTGCTGACATGTTTTTATTATCGCACGACATGTCAAAAATCTCCATAATTTGCAACAAGTATGCTCTATTCATTTAAATTAAAGCGTGTTGAAATGTGCGTTTCACGAGATTATTTGATTTTGTTAAAAGCCCAATTATTTTAGTGTGGTTAATAATGACTCGCTATATATAATTAGTACCGCTTATGATAGCTGATGGCGCCATTGTAAAAGCCAGTATAGATCAGAGAATGCCGCGTGTTCAAACCATGCGTCTAACTAAGGATCACGTTACTTTGTATTGATACAATAAGCGATTTCAGTATTGGGTCTAGTGATGTACTGTCGGCTTGTTGTCGATTTTCCTGGTTATCAAATCTGCAATAATGGTTTGTATACAACGTTCAATTTGGTGAAGAACCATGAAAGTAATACTTTAATGTTGATGTTATGAAATACTTCTAAATTACTAAGTATACACAGTAAACTAAATTGAGAAAATACGAGCAAATCATTAAGTTGGTATTTGTTTTGTTTGATTGATATATTTCCGAGCATTGTGAATGTGTATTGATATTTTCCTTAGATAGAACTATTCGACGATATCACAACGAGTTTTAAGTAATGAAAACGTAATAAAAAACTAAAGCGTTGAACATTTACTTATGGTTAAATTTATTATAAAAGGCTTCATAGTTGTTATGTTTTCTCCTGTAATTCGAAGGCAAGGTAGTCTCTACCGCAATATGAGAAAAGTGGTATCAGATAGTTTTAATTCCAAACAATTCACTTAGATTCTTTCATACTATTTGCTTTTAATTATTCTATTGATTTCTATTTGTACCAATTGCTTTTTACATGTCTTCATATATAATAGACTAAGCTAACTATGATATTTGTTCAATTAATCCACACAGAAAACAACCAAAACGTATCTTATTCGGATGAATAATATATACCATATTAATTATTTTCAGTTGTGTTGTTTTAATCTTCTAGCAATCGGTTCAGGTCTGACCAGTCTGCTGATACTTGTGACAATTTCGTATCAATATTTTGTAATAATTGATAGACCTTATTTTCAAATAAACACCCATCATGTCAAACTACTTTAAGTATTCATGATATCATGGTAAACAAAGGTTTGCCAGCGATACGTACATGTATGTCCTGTTATACAATGTAAGAAGAGAGCTGGAATACGTTGTGCCTGATGCCTTAACTACAGTGTAGTTTTACAGTGTATCTAATTTTTGTGTTCAATTATAACGGTAAACACATATAAAACAAAAATTAACGGACATCGTCATCTGTGTCCTGTTATCATAATGTGTAGAATGATACGTGTTTATGGGAAATACATTTATCAACGCCCTAAAAGGAATTTGTATTGAGTCTGAACTTCAAAAAGGACCTTTCAATTTGTTTGCCACTAAAGAGTGAACCTAGCGAAAAAGAATAAAGGTGGGAGAAGTACAAATATATATATACATTATTATTTTTGTATTATAGAATTTGAATTTCAAACTATATTGTCTCTTTTAGAAAATAAACGCATGGTACTAAGTGAGAAAACAGGTTACATACAAACAGAAGAAGTACTAAAAAATACACGTGACATCAAATAAAATAAACAGCTGCGCAGAGTCACTTTAGCGTTGAATTTTCAATTTCCACAAAATAGAATGAAAGCGTTTGAAAGAAATGTGGTGTTAAGTCCAAAAGAAAATGATACAGAACTTTCTGTATCGCACAAGTTTAAGATTGTGTTATATTTTGTATTTTATTCAAAAACCAATATTTATTATATACAAAACATGAAATAATAATTGAAACATATCATATGAACATGTACTGAAATATATTGTATGTATCAATCATGGCATTGCAGTTGGTTTCTCTCAAGTCTTAAAATGTGCTATATATGGAAATTGAACAAAAGGAAGTAAGAATTTATCTAACAATAGCAAAATTACTTGTGTACGAATCATGTAGAAAATGAAGAATCAACACAATTGAACTTGTATTGAAATACTATGTATGCACTTATTAACGGCAAATGTATATTATGTATAAGATGTAGAAAGAAAAAAAAACTTTAAAAATAAAACAGGTATTCTCCAAATTAAGAAATGTTGACGATTGTTTAAATGAAATCGTTCTAAATTGTGAACACCAATAATAAATATATAACGTTTGTCGAACAGTAAAACTGTAGTTTAACCGATATCACATATCCAGCAACACATCGTTAACGAGTATTTCATGTGCGTGTTTAACGAACCCAATCATGAAAGATGAATATTTTAGGACGCCTTTCAGCTCGAATTTAGTGTACATTTTGTTGCAGTATATTTAAGGACCATGTGATAATTTGACATGGTAATAAACTTTATTGTGACAAAGAATGTAAATTATACAGATTTCTATGTGTTTATCAGCATGTGACAGGATTGTTGGCTACCATCTACATACCATCCAATACAATAATAGCGTCTGAGCTCTCCGTAAGTAAGACAACATTATAATTTGTCAATCACAATGATTTAAAAAAAAAAAGAGAGAAACAATTCAGTGTTTCGGAAACCATCAGGTGTATTCCTCAGATAGCTCACACGTTAAGTCCGGATACATATAAATAGATCATAATCAACATTGAACTCAAAAACTGTTTTAGTCTTTTTTGACATAAGGTTTTTAATGTTATCCGACTCGGTTTCGTATCGATTATGTTTGTGAGGGATGTTGCTATGAGTAGGAAACATGCTCAGTTCAGCATCGTATGGTTATATGATAGGCCATATGCAGTCAGGACTACTGCCGACATGTTACTGGATATAGTTTACATTAACACATGCAGGGCATTTTTCAAGCGGCATGTTAGGTTGATTTTTAATGATATTGATATAACGCCGTTGACATAGTTCCATACTTTTACACTAACATGATGTATATACGCTTCCAGGTTTTGTCCATGTTTCCTACTCTACCTTGGGGGGACCGTTCCAGCAATATGGCTGCTGGAGCTGGACAGGAGAGAACGATTCATCAACACCTTACATCCGGTAGCTGTCACTAACGCCACCAATCTGACGGCTATAACTACATCCAGCTCTGTTTTATCTTCAGTATCTGTACAAGAAGAAATACAAGATAACATCATCAGTGTATACGGAGTATGTATGGCAGTCTGCTTTTTTATTTCATAGATATAAATATCATATCCCACCTGTCATATTTGATTATGATTTATATTTACGGGTGATATACTTAGAGATTAGCATATGGCCATTTTGATATCACATCCTATATCAGCCCGAGAGTCCTGATATTCGGCCCTCTGGCTGATATCAGGACTCGAGGGCTGATTGGGGGTGTGATATCAAAATGGTCATATCATAAACTATTTATCATATGTTTTTTTCCTTTAAAATAAACAAAACATACACAATGATGTATATTAACAAAACAGTAACAATTATACGTAAAAAGTACGTGAGACATCAGATAATCCATGAATATTTTGATGTCCGATTGCGTTTTTCTTGCAGTGTTCTTGTTTTTCATGCTTTCCACCAAAGCTTCGGTATCATTAGCATTATTGAATTGTTCCCCTGCACCCATAACACGTTTCGTCTCCTTTTCCATTTGTTCGTTGTCATATTTCGTCTAATTCAACAATCCTTGCTGCAAATTTCTCCAAAATCTCCTCGACAGTCGCCATTGTTGTTTATGCAGACGACAGGTGTAACACGAATAAGCAAAACCAAATCCGGAAGCGGCGCCATCCAGAAATTAGGGTGGGGCTTTGTGAATCAATTTTTAAATTATTTTCCATGAAACGGCATTTTTTCTATGCCAGCAATCCGTTTGTTTACATTAAAAGCAGACAGCAATAAGCGGAAGTGGCAAAATCCGGAAATTTAGGAGGGGTTTTGATATCACTTTCAAGGGTGTGTGATATCACCCGGGCTGATGTCAACTTGTGGAAATTTTAGACTTATTACACATACAAAAATGGTGTTATTATTAGTAAACATATGATAATCTCCATTAAAACATAAGCACTTTATAGGATAAGTTAAAATTGAGAACTGCATTATCCGAATGAATATAAAACGTAATTTCTTCTTTAACACAAATGTAGATAAGCTTAAATGTCTGGGGGGAAATGCCATTAACTCTGGTATTGCAAATGATATATTAACTTATTATATATTAAAAAAGTAGTCATCATTTTAATATTTGGAGGAAACACTGTACGCTTAACGACTTAATAATATTAAGGCACCTAATTGCTGAAAAAAACATATTACACGAAAAATTCCTTTTCATTAATTGATATAACAAATAATAGATCGCTCATATGAATGGGAACTGTTTATTGGCTGGACAGAAAGATGTTATCGTCCTATAAACGTAACTCTCAATGTTTCAAAAACTGAACCGACTCATATTATCGCCTCCGCTTCTTCACGGTCTATGTTTAATGAAACTATAATAAGAAGAATAAGTGATTTCCCCTGGATGAATCTCAAAATGATAAAACTAACATAAAAAAGCAAAACAATACATTGCAAGAAAACTTCACAATAAAACAAAACCTAGTGATAGTCAATCGGAGAGGCCTCTTTTAGGCAAGCCCGGATTACATGGGTCAGCGCCATAAGACAACACAAGACTCTTGTTCTCTTAATAATTTGCTGATCATAGACACTCTAAGGAGTCCTGGGGAAACCGTGAAACATTTCATAATAATACTTTATTCATGTTGAGAAATTCTTAGAAATTCATTGACAATAACTAACAAAAACGATGCTGATGAAGCGAACGTGTTTCGTTTCCTATTTCTTAAAATAAACCAATGTGGAACACTCACTAGTAGTGCTTCTTCTATGATATAAAGTTAAAACGTACTGATGTTAAGGATGCAATATCAAATTCAAAACTGACAAAGCCTTAGGCTAAGTAAAATTGCATTCATGTTGAATAAATCAATGGTTTTTTTTTCAACAAAACGTTTGTCTTCAAATAGATTAGCCTAAATATGGTAGTGCATTGTAATTCTTCTACAGTAATAAGAAACTAATACCAGACAATAAGTGTTAATATTAATCGAGTAAGGAAATGCGCTTTCTGACGTTCTCTGTAAAGTCTGCGTCAGAGTCCACACGGCTGTAGTGTCAACATCGATACGTTCGCTGCATGGTATGAGTATGAATTATTGAATTTTACACAGCAAAACCAAGAATATCAACATGTTACGTGACACAATCAATTTTATATTTACCTTCTAAATTTTTAATTACTCTTAAACTATCACTCGAGTAACATTTAGATAAAATACGTGGCAGAGTATTTAATTATTTTTCAGCACGCCAACCCTGAAGAACAGCACAACATGACTAGTAAACCCTGAGTAAACAATACATTACATAAGTGGTGCCCATACAATATAGACATAGTGCACATACCCACACTACCGATGTATTTTGAAATAACTAAGGCAACAAATATTCGGACAACGCCTTAACTAATTCAGTTTGTCTTTACTTAGTCATCTCAAGTACAAGCAAATATTGTGATAATTGGAATATGGATTAATTAAAACGACTAAGTAGACGGTACACATGGGACTAATAGCCCATTAGTAGTGTAGGTGTCATTTATTGTAGACAATAGCTATTGACTGGTCCATTATGATGTAATGCATACATTTCGACCATTTACTTGACAGGAACCCTCTCTCGAGTTATAGTGGCAAACGATAAAATAGTGACATATCAGAGTACATTTTGTTTTTTGTAATAATAGCTTTAAAGCATATCCACAACGTATTATATATAAACCGCAGTTTTATTGCACTTAAAAACGGTTTTGAGGTCGATTAATGTGTCAACAGTAAAACGATGTTCCTAAATATACATATTTTTAGGCAAAACAAATCGATATATTAATACATGACATTCTAACTGGGGCATTTAAAGGAGTCCCCTTTTTAAAACTTAATGTACAAACACTACAAATTTGTCTAAATGTAATCTTCTTTTAATCATTTAATGATTCAATTAGTCAGCAATGTAAACCATGCATTTAATTTAGTATTATTCTCTTTGTCCAGGTGACTATACCATTAACCATTGAACTGGAGCCGGATACGTGGGTAGTTATCATAGAACAGCTCCTGCTATACTTCATGATACTTGGTCGATGGATTCTTCCTCGAGGTAAAATTTCACGAAACGAGTTATCTCAACTGTTGTTTGTTTTTATCGGAATGGCATCAGACATCACAGAACTGTTTGCCCTGTTCGATGAATCGCAAGTCAGACAGAGCCTCGAGCTGACATACGTTATTTTAATTATGTGGTCGGTCAGCCTAATCCAATTCTGTTTCGTGCTCACCGCCACAAAGAACCCGTCTCGTCCCCGTGTGGCATTAGCGTCTCCTCGGGAGATGCGACGGAAGCTGCACTGCTCAACGTGTTACAGTACGGAGCTATGGAGCATATTTGTGTTGATGTTAATGCAGGATTTGCCTTTCTTAGTAATTCGAACTTACACGATAGCCTCCCTAAACCTCATCACATATAGCATCATCTTCTTCACCGCTAAAAACATCCTCATTGTCCTCCTCCTCATCTACCGTGTGGCTGTCATATGCTGCGTGAAGAAGGATGACGAAGACGACAATGAACCTACATCACCAAAAGCTGAGGAAATGGTATACAGAAAAGGCAAAACAAATGGTCACCTTGAATCTATATCGGTCATCGAACATAAGGAAAATTATCACAGACATCCTAAAATGCCTAGTCTTAATAATCTACAAAACAATCGCATTCATTGTCCAACTAGACAGCCACCGATGTGGAATGAATATCAAACGAAAGGGATTAAACTGAATTCTCATTTGTCGACTCTAGCAATCAGAAAACATCATATTGCGAAGCAGTATATTCACCACAACAGAGCGAGTCTCGGTAGTCTGTGATTAACACAATGACATCCATGTCCAATAACTGTTTCATCAACGGCCAGTGAAATTAAACTTTGATCACGTTGTTCCAGTTGATTCAGGGTAGGATTCACATCCTGGTTGTTTTAGGTTCACACTGATTTCAGCACCGATTATTCTATTGCTTAGTCGCTAGTCGAAGATTCGCTAACGCAAACGTATAAAATCGTGACTCCTTGTTGCATACTATACACAACAATAATCGACAATATATTAGGGCAACAAAGAATTAACCTGTAGCCTTGAGAAATGTACATGAATGAATCACGTGGGATTTCTGTTGAAGACAATGTATATCGTATATGGAAACATTGATATTAGTTAAAGCATACAATATAGTAACAAGACTAACACTATTAACATAGGCCCGTGTAATATACATGTCTTTACTGTAAAACACTATTTTTAACAGGATATGGTTGTAATTTCTACCACCTGCAAGTCTAACTCAATAAAATCTGTAAAAAACAATCCAGACAGTCAAAGTGGTGGAAGATATAAAATCATGTGTGACTTTATAGTTATGAATTAAAGCCGTGATTGCAAGAACGCGATACAGATACAAATACGGACGTCAATCATACTGAATCAGCGTTCATACCTACGTTCATACATAGTTAAGCTTCATAATGACAGGGTCACATTCTAGAGAATAAAATGTCGTTATTGTCACCTATCTCTGACACCTAGGTGCCTTTTAACCTTTATATCGACACAAATTAATACACAAAAAAATATAATGTCAAAAGTTGATGTGTGTCGTATTGCATCTTTAAAATAGATGAACCTTTCCGATTGCTACATATGACAACACACGCTTTGAATAAATTACTCATTTTAGAACATTTTAATATCCCCTTGTTCATGGCTAAATTTCTATAAGTGTGTGACAATGCAACATCGCCGCGTGTGTTTAATTGTGAAGAACAAATTTATATTGGAACATCTGTATATAATAATTATGAGAAATTAACTTCTTTTTTTTACCGAAGATTTCAATCAAATATACATTAACAGCCAAAGGAAAGTAAAATGGATTAAAAATCCACCAATGGGCAGTCTTTTTTTTTACACGAAACGATTAATACATATGCACGTGCGTTTGTGAAATCTTTATATTTTTTTCAAAATTTCCTTCTGTGCATAAACGACGCCAACTCGCCATGATTTCCACATCGTGACTAAATGTAAATATTCGATTATTCATTTCGACCTGTTCTACCTTGAGAACGTCAGGATACCTTTGATGTATTAGCAACTTAATCACCTCATCTGTGGTGAAATGTCATTAACAATAAACCACATAGCTACCTGTATTGGTGGTAGTGCATGTCAACACAAGGCTTTAGATACTGGTTTGCCGAATTTATTAGTATGGCCCCAGCGTTTGTCTGGGGCACGTGCTGGTCTGATTGGTAATCATGACGAGACCCTAAAGCAACAGGTAATGATTACCTGGGTTGTAAACCTGTCTGAAGTCTAACTTATTGTGGAGTTTCCAACGTAGCTGACATGTTACTGACGCCATCACCTGTTTAATTACACTGTACATTCGTGTGACAATGTATTCTATACACTGTATACTACTGTATTATAAATTGTTTTAGTACTAGAACATAAAAATGTAAAATTCAACCTTTCGAAAGTTGTTTTATGATTGATTGCATAGTAGACAAGTACGTTGTAATTCTATATGTTATGAATATACAATGTTTAATGTAGATATAAACGCATTCTTAGAAATACAAAACAATCATAGCATACAATGTTCTGAAATCGAATATAAGATAATGTAGTCTTTTCGGTATAGATATATTTGTGCGTGTGTTTTGTGTGAGATGGGGTGGGAGGGGTGTTTTTTTAACGTTCTATCAACAGCTAAGGTCATTTCAGGACTTGGGGAGGAGTGGAGTTGTTTAACGTTCTATCAACAGCTAAGGTCATTTCAGGACTCGGGGAGGAGTGGAGTTGCTTCCATTATGTGTACTACGTAATGACGATTTCAATTTCTGTCCGTTCATATACCCACCATCAGTGTTATGCTGGAATACAATACAAGCACGAGCGAGTGAGCTGTAGTTTGATATTATCATAGCTTTTGGTTAGAGTGCCATATATGGTTCCTGCTGCAGACTTTATACTAACTGTTATGTTAGAATATATGGATTAATAAATGCACGTGTTGCTATTTTATACACTTAGTGTTCTTATGATTCTTTCAAATGAAATCAATAACAATTATTGAGTGTAATGTTTTGCTTTTGCAGTTTTTTGCAATATGAAAGGAAGACAGAAATCCATGCATTGTTAAATTGGCGGTATTATTACGTTCGACTTTGAATATTTTTTCTGTATAAAAAGAAAGATATAATAATTATGTGTGTATTAATTTTATAGTGGCAAAGTTGAATAGGCGGTTTCCTACTACCGTAATACAGTATATACAAATTCGAAGAACAGAGATCCCCTAACCAAACAGTAAAACCCAACCTATCAGAATAGAGGATTTCAAAATTGAAAAGTCCGAGGGACAGATTATTAACCCGGATACAGGCTTATATTGTAGGACCAAATCTAGAACACAGTTGAAGAATTTATCATGTTTTTCAAGTGCCTTTCCATGAATAAATGGTAACAAAATGTATTCATGTTGAGCAATCTCGGCTCACATTAAATGGACAGTGAAAACATAAGCAACTCTAAGAAAAACTCTATTTTTGACAAGTAGATGTCAACAACAGTCGTCTTCCTTTAAAGGATCCGGAGAAAAACATTAGATAGTTTTTTATGGTTTAATTGCACTTGTATATATTGTGAAAAAGTTTACGTTCACAATTTTGGAGGCATAAATTAGTTTCCCCATCATCAGAACGCATGATGAGTGGTCCGTGTGTCTGACGTGTGTAGGTCGAGGAGGAAATCATCTGGCTTGTGACGAGTTGCAATACTTGTCAAACTTTATTGGTCACGGACAGTCTTCTTGAGAAGGTCAAATTAAATATGGGTGTCAAATGTCCAATTAAGTACCTAGCGATGACTAATTAGGAGCTGGTATTTAAAACTAGAGAATAACTATACGTCGCCATTAAACTTGCGGATTTCTCTAGGGATAACCCAGTCTCCGTCCCAAAGGAACAGGTAAGACATGTTTTCTATTTTTGAAAATTTGTTATATACTGTTACTGGGTTTTTTTTATTTCTTGTGAAAGTATCTTTGAAATGAAAGAACAGCTTGATTTGAGAGACCACCTCTTTATGTAAAGTAAGCAAATAAAATGTGTTTAAATTTTATGGATAATAGTGAAAAGTAATAATTACACTGAATAACCTCGTTAGTCCTACCCTCATTACAGGAACACTGTATTTTATTATTTTACAAGTGATCTGGTCCAAATGCTTTCACAAATAAGATTATTTATAACAATACCAAACTCCTGGTCGCCGATACGTTCCTCTGCAATAGAATTATGTGGGTGATGAAACTAACCAGCTAAAGATAGATATAAATTTATCCCCTACTGTTTGACCTTAAATCATAATGATAATAGTCAGATCCAAGTACTAACAAATACTCAAAAAACTCACACCATTTAACTAAATTTCCTGAGCAACATGGTAAGTACTAAGGGATTATGAAAATGAGCAGTGTTTGTTCAAAATATTTTGTGTTTAAATGTTATCAGTTTTATTGCATAGTTTCGAGCGATCTTTTTCTGATTTTTCAAACATAGATACAATGTACCTAAAGATAAAATACTAGTATTTTTTAGAATTAAATGTTTACCACTGCGGTGAATAAAAAATGATTTTTAAACAATCAGAAGCATGTAAATTAAAATACAAAAAAATACATTTTGTACATTTTGTGGTGTTGCCTTGTACGCAAACCATCAATGTCAAAACAAACCAACAAACTAAAAACAAAAAAATAACACACCATTCATCTTCTGCTCATAGCGTCTATTTTAAAAACAAAATAGGAGAAGGATAATGGTTTTCCCAAATTGAGTTAACAACATATATAATGTATTAAAAAACAATCTTATTCAATAAAATAAATTGATGAAACCTTCAAATATGAATCTGTTAATGCTAAATAAAATGGGCAAGAAAAATTTACATTTTACTTCGTCAAATAAGTGACTGATCCTAAAACTATAACAGATTAACTGAAATCTTAACGCGGTCGTAGTATTGCTTCTAGGGGGATGTTATTTGTATCGTTTTCTCCAAAATTTCTAAGTCAGTATGGAAACATTCTTAATCTCCCCAATGACAGACAGACTGTTAAGTGTACTACTAGTGTTCACTGTTATTCTATTCCGTCTGTGACGATGTAATCGCGGGTATATGAACGACAACAATGTCCAGTTTAACAGCATACTCAAACAACGTGTTCTTCTTCGCAGCATATTCAATTCGACAAAGTGCCCTGTCATACATCATACTCTATCAAAATGTCCTACTTTACGAAATACTCAGTTCAACAGTTTGCAAACTCCATAGTTTATTAATAGAATTTACATCTGAAGTCATTTACGTGGAGAAACAAACAAAGTATATACTGGTTTGATGCCAAAAAACTGCATGCAAAAATACAACTGTGTTTTAATTGTCGGGCCTTTGACTCTCCTTTAGTTTTTGTGGCTGTTTTGTACTAGTGTTCTGTGAAAAATAATATGTTGATCTGACTATCGAAGTACTTGACTTATATTGAACTTCTCTGTCCTTTGAAAGAGAGCAATAACTCCAATTTTCCATGCCTAAATTTAAATGCTTAAAAGCTCAGCCTTTTCCATAGAAATTAGTAATTTACATAACTGAATCTAAAGCATTTGTCATAGGAAAAACATAAAAAATAAGAACAAATTAATAGAAGATAAAAGGGGAAATGTACCAACTACAAACTGAACTTAGATATTTAACTTATTGCTACTGATTTGTTGTGAAACTAATTAGTACCAAATAAGCTGAATTGTGGATAACGGATTGTATGCTATGACTAGTCTATAAGTGTCTGGTTTTAATTTAGTTATCGTGGATTACGTTATCACTCATAGAAAAATTCTTCTATGCTAAATTCATACATTTAAACTAAGTTTTTTGAAATATGCACATTATCGTTAGGATGTCATTCAGCTATATATATATATATATAAGGTAAGCGCTGAAAAGGCCCACCAATACACATTTAATTCAATAAACAAACTTGAATGTATGATTTTCTTTTTCTTCGATCCGTTTGCTCTTTTTTAATTACACTACTCAATATAGAATTATATTTCAAATCTAAGAGGAATCATTTGCTCAATTAATGGTTAACGTCATATAAAATGGTATTGAGTTGACGCATGGTTCGTCACTATGTTTTCTCATCACTTTAAACTGCATTTGTGTCGATAAGCTGATTGAATGTGTTTATTCATTATCAGTCTGTTCAAATTATTAGAGATTTTATCGCAGTAAATGGAGAAAAAAGTTAAACATGTTCACGTGATTAATTGGAAGCTGCAAGGCGTGTAAACAAACAAAACAGACTGTCACACAAAACATATAAACGGAAATTGGTAAATGCTGTCACGTTTTGGTCTGCCATTAAAATGCAAGTAATATTCATAGTGGCTGTTGTATAAGACAATTGTTATCGATATCACACCACAGTGATATAAATGAAAATACATTTATTACAACACAATCGTGCCCAGTCAAACGAATGAAATTTTGAACTATGAAATTGCATTCTAATTAGTAATATATCAGCTTAGTATGAAATATAACTACAATGTACAATCTATTTGGGTAAGCATGATGTATATAAAAAAAAAAGCCAGAAGCAAACCAACATGTATACAAATTAGTAAATCGGGTGGTCGTAATCGGTAGCGCTAGACCTTAACAGTAGTATCAGAAATATATCATTAAAATAGATTTGTTTTTGATTTGGTGTGCAAATGAACAATGTGCAAGCATGCATTTTGTTTTGTAGTAAAACGAACTCGCGACAATCAAACTTGACCCGGAAACTGTCAACTAGCAGACTAGTATAAGCGAAACGTATCCTTTATCTTAGAATGTATTCCCGAGATCACGCAGACAGTATTCAAGTAAAGATACCTATATACGTTTAATGGTACATATATGTTTGTTGCAGGGAAAGTGTTCCATGATGAAACAGTTCCTTGTACTAGTGTTTGTGGCGGCCCTTCTAGGAGTACGGGGGGACAGCGACAACGATAACCACCACCACCACCACAGCAGCAGTGGAGGCGGTGGAGGTGGCAGTGGTGGAAGCGGGGGTGGTGGCGGCGGGAGCGGAAGAAGTGGGACCAGCGGCGGAAGCGGAAGTAGTTGGACCAGCGGCGGCAATGGCGGAAGTGCATCATCACAAGGCAGCTCATCTTCTGGTCATGGAGGTGAAACTATCCGCGTCATAAAAGGGCATGTCAATTCAGGTGGATCTCATATTGTTGAGACAGTTCCGGTGCATACATACAAGATGCAATATGTCCAGCAACCGCCTACACAGTATCACACCGTATACCAGCACATCCCTACTCCCTATTTCGGCGGATATCGAGATGGAGGCTTCGGCGGCCGTGGGTTCAATGGGGGCTGGGACGATAGGTATCAAGGAAGATTCGGCGGACCTGGCGGACCCGGTGGACCAGGTGGACCTGTCCATATCAGCTACTCAACATATAACCATGTATACGGACCCAGTGGTGGTTATGGGCCAGGTGCTGGCTGGTCTAGTGGGGGTCCTGGTGGTTACTGGGGTGGAAACGGAGGTCCTGGTTATGGCGGTCAAGGATACAGCGGTCCTGGTTACAATGGTCCAGGATACGGAGGACAAAGCTACGGAGGGCCTGGTTACGGATGGCAGGGAAACCAATACGGAGGACCCTCTGGTGGTTACAATCATGGCTATAGAGGCTACCCCAAAGGCGTAAGTATTACCAAACTATATATAGTAAAGTTATCACGCTTGGGACCAATTTTGATTTTCTCTTTCATGGTCATTTACTTTCCTAAACGCAGTAGTATAGGTTTAATACTAGCTTTCTCTACTTAAAAAAAGCTTCAATAGCGCATTCGATGTCTCTCCAAGTATCAGAAATATTTCGATAGGTTTGGTAAAAGTTCCCTGTATTGTCTGTAGCTGTCGTGTTGAATTCTAACTGCGACTTCTTGTGTTGATAAATGCTGAAGGTGGTGTGCAAGGTATTCCCTCGGACGAACGCACTGTAAAATAATGTCATTTTGTTTTGTGTAAATGCCATGGACGGGGAATAGTGCTATGAAGTCTCGTGTATGGCTGACTTCTGTCAGTTCACATATTTATCAAAACAAAATGCATTCATGGTGAATTGCAATTGTACACAGTAACAAAACACGTACATGGCTTATTTCCCTTGTTTAAACAAATATACATTTCATTTCAGAAACCGTACTGAAAACTACTGGAACAATTACAACTGAAGAGAAATCGGCTTTCAATCGAGCTGGTGTGGTATACCCGCGTCAAATTGCAGTTCTCAGAATAGTGTTACATACCTTCATGTTAAACCCGGTTCTCTTTACGATTGAAATATTTCTAGAATTTTCATTTGCATTCGCAGATGGATAAATTCAAACCGAAGAAAGTGATTTTTTATACACATAACAAGTTATAGAACCGGTCTGTGTAGATTACAACAAATTCATGTTTTAAATGAATGCTCGTATTTTAGTATTTTGTAATTTTTCTGTCATTTAAAATGTGTCGGTGATATATTTGTACATAGTAAAATAATACATGCGACTACTTGTAGTATTTTCTAAACCTAATTCATTTTTTTCCTTTCGTTCAAAAATAACTGTAATGCATTCTTCCATGTTGAAAGATTTACAAGAGGCAACGGAGCCTAAGCGATCACCTGATTATTAGGTTTGCGACTTTAATGTAACATAGCAACTGTTGATTTACCGTCATTAATTGAGGAGTTCAAAAATAAATCAATAAAAGTACATTTAAAAAACAGCACCAGGAGGGATGTAGTGTTTTAATTTTATTACAATACCATCAAACTGTCCGACTATGGTATTAATTCTAACTTAGTTTAAACTTTTTCCCATTGAAAAATACATAAAACTTTGTACATTGTACAAGTCAGGTTCTTGAGGACGGAAACCAAATAATTTATATTCTTGATTCTTTTTTGGCCATGGCAGCTTCGTATAAAACGTTATCGAGCTCGGTTCAGTATCTTTTGAGGAGTCCAACTTGTTTCCGGACGCATTACGACAGATCAGTGGAGCAGACAGACGAACACCGCCCAAGATCACAAAATGTGTTTTTTCTGTCGTCCATGGAAATTGTATACTTTGGCTTGTGATATACATGTATGCAACATCAATCATAATAATAACAGCAGCTTCAATGAAAACTGAAGAAATGATGACCATCCATCAATTTTACTGTGCAACAAAAGTTGCGTTTCTTGGGCATTCTGAGGAAACTCAATGTCCAATGTGCATGGCGATATAACAAAAAATGATCTTATACCATATAACCCCTTTCATATTGTTTAAAATGAATTACTATGACATCAAAATGATTGCAGAATGTGATTTCAGAGTTCGACATAAACCTTTCATCACGAGGGTCGACTCTGGACCATAACCTCCTTGTCAAATGTTGTTCATTCACTATCAGCTCACATTCAGCGTTCTTCAACATATATCGGTCAATAAATACAGACCATTGACAAACACTATCAATTACATTAGTACATGAAACTATTCAGAATAGAATGGTAAAATGGAGGAAACATCATGAGAGCCATAAAAAGCTGTTACTCGAACAGATGTTTGAAAGGGGTTAGCAAACCTTCTCAACATGCTGACATTTTAATCAGCCCGTCATAAGAAACTCAATAAAGATGAAATGAATAATAACGCATGCGGACATTTGGCACTTTCGGCAGATGCCCTAGTACGTGATGATAACTATTACCAAGCCCTTTGATTTCTATGAGATATTTTGAATGAATAAATGAATGAATGAACACATCATTTTAAAGTACATAAATTGCACATGATTTACAACTGTATGCAATACATGTACTAGATATGTACATTACCTGTACTAGATATTTACATTACCTGTACTAGATATGTACATTACCTGTACTATATATGTACATTACCTGTACTAATATGTACATTACCTGTACTAGATATGTACATTACCTGTACTAGATATGTACATTGCCTGTACTAGATATGTACATTACCTGTACTAGATATGTACATTACCTGTACTAGATATTTACATTACCTGTACTAGATATGTACATTACCTGTACTAGATATGTACATTGCTTGTACTATATATGTACATTACCTGTACTATATATGTACATTGCCTGTACTAGATATGTAAATTACCTGTACTAGATATTTACATTACCTGTACTAGATATTTACATTGACTGTACTAGATATGTACATTACCTGTACTAGATATGTACATTACCTGTACTAGATAT